GTAGAGGTCAGTACGCCAGACTACAACAGCACCACCCTTCATAACAAAACCAGGGTTGGATCTAAGCGCACAGAGTGCAGCGAGTTTGTAGGGACATTGGTTGGATTCGGTGAGGGGGACAGAGAAATTGAGTCGATCAATGTTACGTCGACAGTTCTCCATGAACAGATCAAGTGCAAGTAAAAGGCCAGAGGGAGGGGTCCAGGTGGAGGGAGTGTGTTGGAACTGTGAAGGGGTCTGTGGGACGGGCAGAGGACTCTTGTCCAAAGAAATGGGCATGGGGGCGAAGACAGTGGAAGAAGAATTCAACGTCATGTCATGCCCACAACAGATTATAATGGATGGAAATACAGTCTCATGATATTTTCTATGGCTACAACAAATATTAATAAAATGTGTTGACAATAGCATAAAAAATGTAAAGGATTACCTTTGGGTTACAACAACTGGTAAACTGAATGGCGGGGATGGAGCAGTGATGTTATCAGACCTGTTACAAACACAATATTAAGGGTAAAGAATTCAGTAAATTAAACACATCTCACAGATTGAATCGCAAAAATCTGTACATTAAAAAACCTCACCACTAAGCAATGAACTACAAATTTGATAATTTGCAACAATGAAGTGTACCTTTTATATCAAATCTAAAATTCAGTTCACACAGAAGTTATCACACATATTGCATACAGTTGCTTCATAACAGAAGAAAGATGTTTTTTATCCGCACATCGCTTCAGTAAACTATCTTAAACTATCAGTTTGAGGTGAAAAATGTTTAATTTTACTTCCAAAAATAATGAAAAGTACTACAAAAGTTGAAAAATTTCCTTGAAGCATAACAAAAAGGATTTTCATATTGTCTTGTGTGATTTGCCATTATCCGTGTAAAGAATATATTCTAGGGAGTTTTGACTCATGGATACTTGAATGAGCTAAAAAAAAAAGTTACATAAAACAAGACCTGTCAAAACCTCTCCCTCTCCACCATATTGAAACAAGGTTAAAAATTAAACATCACATTTATCAAACTCAGTCATATTTAACTTTCAAATGATAGTAAATATATGCTGATTTAAACCACTGCACATAATAATCTATCAATATTATCCTAAACAACATTGTATTTGCTTTGGACATGACATTATGAAATTCATTTTTCAAATGACCAAAGTATTATATTGTTTAATACTATTACATTGTTGCAAACATTGAACTTTAGTTGTTCATTTTGACAACTTGCTTCATCTTACCAGGAATCTATCCTGGCTACTTCATCAAACAGCAGTAGAGTTAGCAGAGCTGCCACCTCACTAAGAATTTCTTTGTCCTTCTGCAAAGCCAGGGACACTGAAATGGCAACAAAATAAATGATAAGTTTGTAAAATAACATTGTACAGGAACTGAGCTGCAAGGTTACCTTTTTAAGTAGAGATCTGTTTCAATTCAACTCCAGACTGTTGGTATTTTCTACACACATTCATAGAATCAAAGAATCCCTACAGTGTGGAAACTGGCCCTTAGGTCCAACATGTCCACACTGACCCTCAGAGCATCTAAGCCAGAACAATCCCCTATAACCCACCTAAACTACACATTCCTGAATGCTACAGGCAATTTAACATGGCCAATCTACCTAGCCTGCACATTTTTGGACTGTGGGAGGAAACCGGAGCACCAGGAGGAAACCCATGCAAACACGGGGAGAATGTGCAAACTCCACATAGACAGTCGCCCAAGGGTGGAATCAAACCTGGGTCCCTGGCGCTGTGAGGCAGCAGTGCTAACCACTCATTTGCCCTCATTTGAAGTACATGAATTCACAAGTACTATTTTACAATCTAATACACAAATCACGTTATATGAAACAAAAATATCAAGGTAAAATTAAGCAGTACAGTATCACAATGCAGTCACAAGTGTAGAAGTGTAAAGGCATTTTCATGCTAAGTATGATGCAAGTTTGATTGATTTACAAAAATGCTGCTGTACATAATTGTTTAAAACACTAAGAAAAATATCATTTTGTTTTTTTTCTCCTGGAGGTAGCTGTAGTACAGAAGCTAAAAACAAAATCAGGTACAGTTTCTATTCTCAATAACAAAAAGGGAACTAAGGCTTCTAGAAGTAAACACTTCTTCACAACATTTTCTATTATACCTTCCTATGCCAACAGATAAAGATGCTGGCTGCGGCCCATAGGAACTTTTCATGCTGCAGTACATACAAACTTATTAATTACAAACAAGAGGAAGCCATTCGGTCTTTCTAAACTGCTCTGCCATTCAATAAGATAATGGTTAATCTGATTGTGGCTTCAAATCCTTATATCCACCTAAAGCTTATCCCTGATAAGCATTAATTCTCTTGTTAGTCAAGAACCTATCAACATCTCCCTAAAAAACATTCAATGCAAGTAAAAGCAAAATACTGTGGATGCTGGAAGTTCGAAACAAATGAGTGACTTTCCATTTAAGATGGGAATGATGCAGATTTTTTTCCTCAGATGATTGAGAGTGTACAGAATTCTTTTCCTCAGAGAGCGGTGGACATAGAGTCAATGCTGGAGAAACTCAGCAAGTCAGACAGCATCTGTGGAAAATCAAACAGAGTTTTCAGGCCAGTATGACTCTTCTTAATAAAGAGGTTGGAAATGGCTTCTTTTATAATTTTAACAGAGGCAAAGGAGGGGCAAAGGGTACAGAGGTGCTAGAGAAATGCTGCAGGTCTAGCCGCATCTGTAGACAGAAGAACAGAGTTAACAGTTCTAGTACAGCATGACTCTTCACCAGAACTGAAATGAGTTGGATAATGTTTTTGTAAAAAATATACTTTTGACAGAAGTGGAAGGTGTGAAGGGATCAGATGGTGTAGAGGCCCAATTCAAATGACAAAGGATTGCCAGTGCTGGTGAAACAGCCTTCACACTGTAATTGACACCCATTTTACATGTCTTTGTTTCATCTTACACCACCATTACCAGCTCATTTGTCTTTTACACTGGGCCATATACTGTCTGTTGCCTTTAACCCGCTGTCCCTGTCAAAAGTATAAAAGAACCCCTGACTGAACTGTTTCTGAACAGCAGTCATATTGGGCTCAAAAATTTAATTCCGTCTCTCTTTTCATAGATGCTGCCAGACCTGAAATTCTCCAGCATTCTCTGATTCAATGTCCACCACTCTGAGGAAGAGTTCCATAAACTCATGATCCTCTCAGAAAAAAATTCTGCATCATGTCTTCTGGGATACTGCGTACAACTCTGGTCTCCCTATTATAGGAAATATGCTGTTAAATTTGAAAGGATTCAGAAAAGATTTGCAAGGATGTTCAAGGGGGTGAGGCTGAAGAATAGGCTGGAGCTTATTTTCCTTGGAGCATCAGAGGCCGAGGGATGACCTTATAGAGGTTTATAAAATCCTGGAGGTATGAATAGGCTGAGTAGCCAAAGCCTTTCCTCAGGGTAGGGCAGTCCAAAACTAGAAGACATAGGTTTAAGGTAGGAGTGGAAAGATTTAAAAGGGATATAACGTGCAACATTTTCATGCAGAAGGTGATACATGTATGGAATGAGCTCCCAGAGGAAGTGGTATTAAAAGGGTATCGAGATGGGTACATGAATAGGAAGGGTTTAGACGGATATGGGCAAAATAATGGACTAATACAAATGGGTTTAGATTAATTTAGTATGGCATGGACGAGTTGGACCCAAAGTGTCTGTTTCCATGCTGTACAATTCTATAACTCTATAAATGGAAAACCCCTTATTTTTATACTATGTTCCCTGGTTCTCACACAATGGGAAATATCTTTTCGGCATCCACCCTGTCAAGTGCCTGTCAATTGTACTATTGTTCGCCTTTGAGAGTAAGTAATGTGGATAATGTATGAAGAGTTACGTGAGCTTTATCACAGCCCAAGGGAGAGGGACAATACAAGAGCTGAGCAAGTAGTTCAGAGGATAAAAATGTATTGATAGCCATAAAGTGAGTAGTGATGCAAATGAGGAGATCTTTAGAGTGAGAAAGCATATTGGAAAGACAAATGGAAAGAACCAGTATTAAGAGTGAGCAAGTGAGTTATTTACGAATATAGATCTCATTTTCCCTGCAGAAAATATGACGCCGCAGCATTCCTAACTCTTTTCCTTGCCAGTCCATAGAAAGGAGAGGAAAAAGAGAAGGCAAAAGAGGAGTGAGGGGAAAATCAAAAAGGAAAAGGAAAAAAAAAGACAAAAATAGAAACAGCAAGAAATCAACATAGTAGAGGAGAGCACTTCAGTCTCTCAGTGTGTGCGCAAAGCAATGAAAACAGACAAGTACTTAAAGATTAAATGATAAACTAGATGCGAGGTTAGGGAAGTGAATAGTGTGGGCAAAACAAAATTCTGATGAAGGGTCTAGGCCCGAAACGTCAGCCTTCCGGCTCCTATGATGCTGCTTGACCTGCTGTGTTCATCCAGCTCTACACCTTGTTATCTCAGATTCTCCAGCATCTGCAGTTCCTACTATCTCTGCTCAAATACGCTCTTACCTTCAGCAATTTAGCTTAAGTCTTTACTAACAAAGTTTCAGTTGAAGATGTAATAAGTTTAGGGGCTCACCTCTGAAGAGGGTAAGCAGAAAAGAGGACTGCTGAGCTAGGCTGTGGCGCAAAGTTGGATCCAAGTAAACCAGCTTTCGTAAAATTGTAAGACATGGCAACACCATGCACTGCATGCTCTAGACAGAGAAAATATACACAATAACTGTTTATTGGCAATATACACTCAAATTTCAACTAAGTAATTTAGTTATTAGTTCCAATAAATGTAAAGAACGATGAAAAACCATGAACAGCTGCATCAGCTTCTGACAGATTTTTCAATTATTCTTTAGAAGAAATATCATTAATTTGCTATTTTGATGCCTCACTCATCACAAGTAAACAAGAAATTCTTCCAGCCGAAAAGAAAAGCATCTAATCCGTACACAGCTATCGCATCAATTCACAAGCTCAATCACCAGGCATACATCATTTAACCAATGCAAATGAGCTTTTACTTCACTCAATGCAAATGGCAAAACTGATCAATATGGTTTGGACACAGACGTCTGAAAAGCCGTTACTTCAAGTGCTATTAAACCTAAACAAAGAACTAAGGCATCTTCTGATTCATTCGCTCAGATTTAAATTCACACAAAAAAAACTTTGCATAGTTGTACAATATTTCTTTGCTCTCCATTTAAAATGAACTGATAATGTTATAAACCTCTACAGCATTTGTCCTTTCATTAGTTTCTAGATAATTAAGATATTTTTGAGTTTTTAACCAGTTTAAGCAAATTCAGTCTTATTTGATATTTCAAACATTTACAAAAATTAAGAAATTCGAATTATCATCCCGTCTTGGAATTTTCTATGGTACATCAACACAACTAATTATTTAATTGGACAAGTAAATTCTAACACATATGTTGCTTAATCAGAGGATGATTTACTGCTCTTCCCTAAATGCCTAAATTCCACAGTTTGTACTACTTAAGTGGAAAACAACTGCATAATTCTGAGGCGGAAAGAGATCTTGATGTACTAGTAGATATGCTACAAAAGGCTAGAATGCAGATGCAGCACAATCATGAAGACTTATGGGATAAAAACTTTATAACAAGAGGATTTGAAGATAATGCTGCAGTTATACAGGGCATTGGTTAGACTGCATTGTGAATACTGTGAAACATTTTGGTCTCTTTATTTAAGGAAGAACGTAAACGGAGAAAAGAACCAGGCAGAGAAGAGATTGACATCTGGAATGAGCAGGTTGTCTTTTGAAAAGAAGATTTCTCTTCAGAAGAGCAAGGAGTGAACTGATGGAAGCTCAAAAGACCTTGAATGATATTTGACAAGCTGGTCATGAAAAGGGCATTCCCTCCTATGGTTGAGTCCAGAGATAGTGGGCACTGTTTTAAAGTTAGGGTTCACTCATGGAGGACTAAGAGGGAGGAAAATTTTGTCTCAGAGGGTTGAGCAACTTTAGAACACACTACATCAGAGGGCAGTGGAGGCAGGGTCACTTAGTATTTTTAAGGCTGAGATGGATGGATTCTTGTTCGGCAGGGGAATCAAAGGTTATCGGGGTGGATGGGAATGTGGAATTTGGAATACAAACTGATGAACCATGATTTTACTGAATGATGGATCAGGCTTGAAGGTTTGAATGGCCTACCTCTGCTCCTAATTCATATTTATATTCAAACATTCAAATTTAGCTTTAAAAATTTGGAGAGAAAAATTTGATACGAGTAAAAGAGACCTTGAACCTATACATTTTTGAAAAAAATTAATTAGTTCACAAAAATCTTTTAGAAAAATGGTTGGTACTCTTAATAGTCTGAGCTGCATGTAACTTTGGTTCCACAACAACTTAATTTGACTTTTTACTGGACTAGTAAACCACTCAAAAAATTCAAGATGACTGAGGACTGTCAATAAATATCAGTTGTGCCAAGCAATGACTATGCCCCAAAACATTCAAGGTGATAGCTCAATGTTTTGTGCCTTCACTTACTCCATAGATTAACTAATAACATTCAGGCTTTTAAAATGGCTAGAAGTCAAAAGGAGAACTCTATTTTTCTCCCCAGACTTGAAAATAATTGCAGAGAATTTGAAAGTTAAGATTTTAAAAAGCAATTGTACAAAATCTTTTACAAACCATGATTTTACAATCACATTGATAAATATCAAAAACAATGGAATGAATGTGTTTTATATACCTTTCCATTTCTGTGCACACTTTCATGTGCAAATGAAACAATCTTTTCTACGATACCTTGGTTTTTCAACACAGCATGGAGTTTGGCATCTGTAAGTAAGCAACAAACAAGAACATTTTAATAAAAACAAGGTGTGATCTGAATGGACTACCTGAAAGGATACTGGACCCAGATTCAATAGCATTATTCAAAAGATGATTGGATAAACACTCCAAAGCAAGAAATTTACAGGGCAAAAGGGGAATCAGCAGGGGAATAAAACTAATAAATATCTTAACAAAGAATAGGCACGGACATGTTGCATCAAATGACTCCCTGCTGAGCTGAATCATTCTATCAGTTAATGAATACTAACTTTAAGTATAATATCTCAAAAAACTATGTAAACTTTTTTTATTCACTCACTGATAATGCACATCACAATGCAAGGCTAGCATTTATTACAAATCCTTATTTGCTCAAGGAAATGTCAATGATTTGGAGATAACAAGAATTGCAGATGCTGGAGTCAGAGTCAACACAGTGTGGAGCTGGAGGAACACAACAGGTCAGACAGTATCAGAGGAGGAGGAAAGTCAAGGTTTCAGGTTTACCCCTTCATCAGGACTCTTCCAGCTCCTCAATGACAGTGATATAACTTCTCGCACTACTGCAGCCTGTGCACTAAATTCACTCCTATACCAGCTAATTAACCACAGTTAATTAGCAAGTTCCATGATATTAACCAAGTGACAATAAAGCAAATGTGATACATGTCTATATCAGGACAGTACTCCATTTAGAGGTGAAGTTGAATGTAGTTGCATTCTCATGCATTTGCTGTCTTGGTTCTAGGTGATATGTTGCTAATTTAGGAAAAAGACTCTGCAGTTCATCATGTACATGGTATACACTTCAGCTACAGTGAGCCAATTATGGAAGGCATAGATGGGGCATGTTTAAGCCATGCTATTGTACCTGCATCCACAAAGCCATTCACTGGCTCAGTTCAGTTACAAGTTAACAGTAACTGTCCTGATTTCTGTCATAGGAAATGCAGTAATAGAGATGCAATCGAATATCATAGACAGATGGTTAGAAGTCCTCGTGTTAGAGATGGTCATTGCCTGTCACCTCATTTGACACAAATATAATTTGCTTATTATTAAGCCACGACAGGATCTTGCCCAGGACTTGTTCCATTCAGGTCTGAAAAACTTTCACTACCAAAAGTGTAATCAACAATGAGAACTCAAGACTATTTTTTAAACTTTTAAAGCTTGGAGTTAAATTTTTCAAATCTATTTCTTCTTCAGTTACCAGGTACCAATAATAAAACAAAAAAACGTGAATGCTGAGGAAACAAAATGCTACTAAACTAGAAATAGTTAAAAGGAACCAAGTTAATAGTTTTGTGACTTTTATTACACATTTTCTTGGCGTCCTTCTTGAAGGCAGTTAACTCCTCAGTGAGGGTTTTATTTTTATGTGAGCGACGCTGGCTATCCCTAGTTGCCCTTGAGTGGTGGTGAGCTGCCTTCTTGAATCCATTTGTTGTAAATACACCCAAAATGCCATTATAGATGAAGTTTCAGGAATTTCAGCCAGTGACACAGAGAACAGCAGTATAATTCAGAGTCAGGATAGTGAGTAGCTGGGGGGTGGGGGTGGGTCTCTCGACACGACGTTATGGAATACTGATGCGATCACTCTTCATGCACAAGTCTCTACAGTGAGTGCTAACTGGGCTATTTTGCTATTACCATCCTCAGATGAAGTTCATGTATTTATTCTTCAAACAAAGGAACGGTAATTGAGAATCAGCATGCCATTTGTAAATTCAAGAGCCCCGAGTCAGATTGCAAGCTGCAATCAAGTAAGTGGTCACAGATTTGGAGTCAAACCCAGGGCTTCCTAGTCTGAAATGCTGAGGCTTTGTCCAGAAAAGTGAAAAATGAGCAGATGCAGAGTTGGTGTAATTGCCGTTTCCAATCATAAACAGAATCTTATCCTTTTACTCTCTTGAATTATGTTTTTTTTCTAAACTTCATGAGCACCAGCTGGGTACTGCTTAAGACATGGCTGAACATGGACAGAACTGACATTTTGCCACATGTTACCATCATTTATTACTCACATATTGTCAGTAATCAGGAATAAGCTAGAATGCTCTGAATTCCTCACTCTCTCAGCCTGGAAAAGGCTACCTTATACTTGGTGCTTGCAGTGAATACAAATGAATACTATCTAGAGTGCAGTGGTACATGCCACACTTTATTAATGTTGTGCAATGCCTATTACTGCAGTCTTTGCTAACAAGTCTTTAAAGTAGAAAGAGGTGGACAAATAATATGCAACCTACCACAATATTCAGCCCTATCCTGGCATCATTTATTTCCAGTGCATGAAAAAAACTGGAAACGAACCTAGCAACACAATATTTTAAATAAATATACCAAACAGAAAAGACTAATCCTTGAGAGTAGTGAGGTGCAATTATTTGAAAAATTACAGACAGTACTGCACAGTAAACAATTACCTTGAGCCATAACAGCCAGTTGCTCTGCTGCAGATTTCCGAAGAGACAGGTCAACTGTCTCAGAGATCAGGATTCCATACACTTTACAGACATTGTCTTCCTAAGGCATAAAGAACAATAGAACAGTGTTATTCTGA